CGGGAGCGAGTGGCGAGGAGAAGGGGCAAATTTGCACGCTTCTTTCATAGTTTTCTGCCAAAATTTTCAAAAATCCTCAAAATCCTCCCCTCCCTCGCGCACCGTAACCTTTTCAACTCCCACAAATGCCCCCGTTCGCATTTTCCTAAGAAACGGTTAACCTCGTTCAGCCCATAATACGACCGGCCTGTTCGGATGTTCTGAACTACGATTACTACGGCGAAACCAAGATGAATCATCAAGATACGCCGCGCACCCCAAAACTGAGCTATGTGGAAGGTTCCACGCATTGATTCATCTCCACTTAGCCGACAAAATGACACAAATTCTCTTTCCTACCTTCGAGAAGAAGTTCTTCACCATCAATAAGAGCACTCTGTGTAAGCTTGGTGGCACCTCAGTAACGACTGTTGTTTCAGGCGCTTTCGTATCTCCTCCACTTGCTGTACTCGTTGCATTGGACATACCCACTAAATTCTGAATGTTAATTTGAAGCAACGATATGATACCAATAAATCACATTGCGGTATTGGATCAAAGCGACACCAGGAGAAGACGATGAGACATATAATGATGTAACTCTTTCATTCTCACTTTATACTGGATTTCAATTTAACAAATTTAAAGTACTACAGCAGTAACGAAAACAAATCTATCGCTAAACACTAGTGCACCAAAGGGCAGTTACACGAATTAAGAAGCTTAATCCGCTTAGCTGGCTAACCGCAGCCGCACACATCATAATGCGATGCCATGACGCCAACGAATAACGAAAGAATATGACAACAAGGGTGTTGAAACTCTGGAGGATCAACACGGAAATAGAACACCGTAGAAAAGTCACTAGAACTACACGAGCATTCGAGTTGAGCACGAGCTTATAGACACACTGAACATGTAATTAAAAATATAACAAGGCATAGGCAGAATTTATTCTCAGCTACTATGGAAGCCCTTCTGCATACTTCCTGCGAACGCTTCCTACTGAACGGTCGCAAAATCAGATCCATATGAGGGACTCTCACGTTGGAATGACAAGGAGAGCTAGCGCATGGCGGTACAAGCAACTACCTCAAAAAGTCACTTGCTATATGAGAAGTATTTTGAAAGCAATTTCCTTCATGTTACAGGGACGATTGCATGGAACACAAAAATGGGGGATCACATTTTCTAAGCTGTCCTAAAAATGCCAAAAAATGAACTATGGATACTTAGCCGCTAAGACTCCGCTTTCAAAAAAGAGCATATTCAGTAGAAACACGCGGAAGTTCCTAAAAAAAATTCAGGAAACGTTTTCTGGCACCACTTCCATTAGTTCTCTAACCCTTTGGCGACAACTGCACCCACCGGTGGTGCCACGCTGGCCGTCGCATGGGACAATGGCACCCAATGATGGAGTGCCACTTTGAAATTTTCTTCTTTGACCATTGAAATATTCTGGCACTTTACAAGCAAGCTTATAATATACATATATAGCATGGTTGACAGAAATGTTCGAAAAAAGCTACTCAATAAGAAATTTTGAACACCGCATTTAGCTCACCGGCTTATTAATTGGCTTATTAATTATGAGACAGAGGGCTAATTACTGGTTAGGGCTTCTTCATATTAGGTCGGTCCATAAGTCTTGCAACAAACTACATTTAATGCTATAGAATTTTAGGGAGAACTCCTGAAAATCCGCAACATATTTCCTGACGTAGCATCAACCTTTGCAATTTCAGCCAACGGTCCAGCTCGTTGTCTGCTTACTTATTATGGATATTACACCGATTTCGCGAGAGGGCTCTTCGTGCCCTTAATTTTTACGAGTACTGCTTGGAATGTTCCGCAAGTCATGCTAGACCAAGGATTGGCCAGAAGATGGGCGAGGGCACGCTCTCTCAAACCACGGTGCAACGGCGCTTCACTCTGCTCAGCGTTGACTTTTTTATTTGAAAATAACCCACACTCCAACCACCCTGTGACTGACAATCACGATGCTCTATCTGACGCCGTTGAAAAGGGATCTGGATAGAGTATCGATCATTTGCTAGAGCGATTCCGATGCGACAAGGAGACAGCACTGTGGCATCTCCAAAGACTTGTGAAGATCCGAAAATGTAGAGTTTGGTCCCCACGTGCCTTGAGCCCGATTCAGCTCCAAACACGATCTGACACCGTTATGTTCAAGTCGACTTACTAGGGATTCTACGATTGACCATCCATCACATTTGCCGAAGATGAGGAGTGGGTACAGTTTACTAACAAATGAACAAGCGGCGGTAGTCCAGCTCAAACGCTTCGGGAGATCTTATTGCTTAAGTTCAACCTCGTCCAAGTAGGGCCTTCTCGGATTTTTGGTGGAACACGAGAGGAGTTAAGCTCTGGAAACCCCTACGTGTAGATGTCGCAGTCAACGCGAAAGTCAACTATCCACAGCTCGAATGCAACGCTTTTAATACGAAAGAAAAACAAGGCAAAGTTTGCTTTTGTATGACACCGTTGAACCACCTCTTGCTAAGAAAATTCAGGAAAATTTTGAGACTCTGGGACGGAGAGTTCTTCCGTATTCACGTTATAGCCCTGACCTCGTGGCAAATAATGCCCTTCTGCTCCCCTCTCCAAACCATCTCCTAGAGAAGAAAGCTCATCCTAACTATGATGATGTCAAAATCGACATCTGATCTTTCTTCGATCAGAATTCAGTAGAGTCCTACAAGGGAGGCATCGAGCAGCTACTAGTGTGTTGGCAATAGGTTGTAGATATTGATGGAGGGTAGCATGCCGGATGAATGGAACAAAAAGATAATGAAAATATTAAATTCAAAATTCGGCCAGTTTGTTGCAAGACTTATGGACCGACCTAATATTTTCACAGTCTTCTGACACAGGGAGAAGCTTGAACGTTATCAAAAATTCGTTCTACACGTGAATTTTTTAGAGTTTTCACCCTTCATGCCTTTCGAATCCGAGCTCCTTCTAATTCTTATTCCAAAAATATGTATATGGAAGTTTCAAATCGTAGTTGTATTAAATATATCTCGGGGTCAAGAATTCGATGAAAAAACTGTTTCTAGGAACAAGTCCCAGGAGCCCGTTGCGTGCAAACCCGTTGTCGTCAAAGGGCTAACAGACGCCAAAAATGATGCGCCTATGCTAGGAGTAAGCTTTCAATTCTGCAGCAGCCTACTTTGTGACTTTCGCTTAACATTGTTCTATTGAAGCAGCGTCCTTGGTCAATGCAATTTTTCGCAGAAGAAAAAGTCCCGTAGCAATCTGATGTCGATATATAAATACACATGACTTGATGTAAAAACATGTCAATAACGTTCAAAAAAGGTCGACCACTGAGGTCTCTAGCTGTAATTACAAGAAGTAGTTCTTCAACTGACTACCAATAAAAATCTCTTATCCTTGAACAACTTCTTCCTTTTCTAAGTGATAGAATGCCGGAGGATCGTAAAAGTCACATATAGCCCCAACGCTAGGATCTCGTCCCTAAATTAGAAAATTTGAAAGTACAGAGGTACAAAATGTGAAGACGCTCATGAACTACCTGAAACCGTCGATAGAGCTCCTTCGCAACATCACCCGACCCTCGTGAAAGTATAGCAGCTTTCAACCGTTCACCAGTTTTCGAGACATCGTCCTCGAAGTCAAATGTCTCATGAATGTCTAATGCTAGCATCTGCAAATCGTGAAAAAAGGCACTATTCAGGTAGAAAGAATAGTATATCAAAAACAATGCTCACCTCTGTCCACAGTTTCCTATAATACATTCCCATATGAGGTTGCATACCAAATATCGGTATGAACGAGCACGGCTGATAATCATTTTTGCCAATTTTGAATGGGAAATACTCCTTCGTCATTTCTCGATATAAATCCAGCCAGAATTTCTGCCTAAAAAATGAATAAATAAATAAATACCTATCTCGACTGAAATTGCTCCCACTCGCCGCAAAATATAAAGGCTTCAACCTACTTCCTATCCTCCATTTCGAATATCGTGAGATCGTAATCAGCCCAGAACAACGACCTATAGGACTCCCAAAGAGTGGACCGCGATAAAGCGAGGCAAATATTATTGGCTAATTCGTCAGAGATTGTCGATCCGTTTACCTGAGGGAAAAACAACAAATGAGATAAAAAAAAACTATGTGAAGGGAATTAAAAAAAACCAACTATATGTGCGGAACTGAGAGATTGGAGTAAAGTTGGCTTGTAAACGAAGAACTGCAAAAACGCTGGAAAGGCATCAGCAGCATCCCAATCACTAGCATAAAATGGGGCCCATGGAATTGCAATATCTCGATAAGGAGCTTGTGAGAGCAACATTTGGACAGCACGGCCAACCTAAAGCACTATTACTACTGAAATTCGCAGCACGAAAATGCTAAATGACTTACATGAAATAGCAATTGCTGAAGTTGTTGGTGATGAAGGAGCGATGGTGAAGTCTCCGTTGGTGCAATGGCTGATCCAACAAGATAAACTATCTTGTCAAGACCACGAACATCTGATTCCACTGAAATATCCTTTTTATGACATCAATGCTATCAATAATATTCAATCTAAGCTGTTTTTTACTTTGGTGTTGGAAATAATGATAAATAAAAAAACAGCTTTCAAAACAATTAATCAAGACACGAACACCCAACCATAGGAGAAGACAACAAATCCCCTTGAAGCTGTAGACTGATAGCATACCAGAGAACCTGGATCTAAAGCAGGGCTAGTTAATGTGCTAAACAGAGAGAAGGAGAGAGAGCATCAAGAGCAAAGGAGGTCTGGTCCACTTAGAATGGAAGGAGAGGAGGCTCACTGCTTTCTTTTTTGATGCCGCTCCTGACAAAAGATGAGCTCCTGAACCCCACTTGCATTTGAAATCGAAAAATGTTTTAGTGCATAATGTTCATAAAAACACTTGCGTTTCACTTCGTGTTTCGAACACTAGGCGGATTTTACAATGAAAGGCAGTTGATGCGACTCTCATCGATGATGCCCTCTTCGACGCTAACGCTTTCTCTGCTCAACGGCTAGAGGCGCAGACAGCGAGAGGTTGCGCGCCGCGTCGAAAGCGCCGTCACGAATCCAACCAGGAAGGTCTTTCAGGGCGTGACAAGCTTTTGAAAACGGTCTTTTGCATGATATAGGGGCAGATGCGGGAACCACAGAACCATGTTTAATTTTTCCTGAACGGCCCTCTGAATACCAGAAAAGGGGGTCCCTAGTTCGATTCCTCTTCTTCATTCTTCTTCTTATTCTTTAGCGTCTGTCCCGCTTGTAAGCGGGGTCCGCTTTTCTTATGTGTTGACGCCACTTTTCCCGATTAAATGCTTGATCGGGGTGGATATTAACTGACTTCAAGTCTACGTGCAACGTGTCGAGCCATCGCTGCTTCGGGCGCCCCCTAGGCCGCTTTCCGGGCACGTCAAGGTTGAGACCGATCTTACAGACACTGTCATCTTTCGCGCGAAGGACATGACCATACCATCGAAGACGGGCTTCGCGCATCTTGTCGACAATTGGAGCCACCCCGAATCGCTCTCTGATGACATCGTTTCGAATGTGGTCTACTCGTGTGACTCCGGCTGTCCATCGCAGCATCTTGGTCTCCATCACACTGAGCCGTGCTTCGATCTCTTTAGTCGTAGGCCAGCACTCAGCACCGTAAATCGCGACCGGCCGGATGACGGTCCTATAGATCTTAGATTTGAGACGTTCTGGCATGTTTTTATCGCAGAGAACGCCAGTCATCGAGCGCCATTTCGACCAGGCTGCATTCACGCGAGAATTCGTTTCGAAGACCAGGCTGCCGTCAGACGCGATTGCTGATCCAAGATACTTGAATGATGTTGCACGAGTGAGTTCAGTACCATTGATCTTAATAGAGCCTAACTCACTCGAATCGGTGGTCAAGTACTCAGTCTTCTTAACGTTCAGCTTGAGCCCGAACATAGCTAGACGGATCGGACCAGGCTTGCACCTGTTGCTCGAGCGTGCTTTTATCTTCGCTAGCGAGCATCACGTCATCAGCATAAAGAAGTGTCCATGGAGCCGGCTTCTGGAGATCTCTCGTAATGGCATCCATGACGACAACAAATAGGAGTGGGGATAACGCAGAGCCTTGATGTACCCGACAGAGATGGGGAAAAAGGCAATCGATGTTCCTGCTGCCGTTTGCACTCGGCTCTTTGGACTCGAGTAAAGGATGCGCACCCACTCGACGAGCTCTTCAGGCACGCCATGCTGTCGTAAGGCATACCATATAACGTCCGCGGAACGCGGTCGAATGCCTTCTCCAAATCTAGGAAGGCAAGGTGCACCGGTCTTTGTTTCTCGCGATGCTTTTCTAGCAGAAGGCGAGCGGCATGTATGGCATCGATAGTGCTGCAACTAGCCACAAAACCACACTGGTTGGTGGTCAGCTCGACGATGTCCCGGATACGGCTATCTACAACTCGCTCAAAGATTTTCATGCTGTGCGAAAGCAGGCGAATTGGACGATAGCTAGTGCAGTCTCCTGGACTGCCCTTCTTCTTCCAGATAGGAATCGTCGTGCTTTGTTGCCAGCTTTCAGGCACCTTCTTCTCTGCAACGATCTGGTTGAAGAACTCCGTCAACCATTCTGCAGGATTCCAGCATTTTGATTTCCACAAGTCCGCCGCTAAGTCGTCAGGGCCAGTTGCTTTGCCTGATTTCATCTTCTTCATGGCCGTGATGGTCTCCTCCACGGTTATCTTCTGAACGGGACCGTGTACTGGCGGAGCGCAGGGGATGGCGGGATGAGTAAATTCGACTGTTGAGATGTTTTCGAAGTAGTCACGCCATCGTTTCAGTGTTTTCTTGCGGTCCGTCAAGAGGTGGCCATTCTCGTCATTTATGCCGAAGAATTTTTCTATATCCTCGGTCTGGCGATGGCGGGTCTTTGCAAGTCGGTAAACGTACCGCTCTCCATCGCGCGACTCGAGTTTCTTACTGATATCAGCAAAATGAGCTGCTTTCGCAGAAGCAACGGCCTTCTTTGCCTCTTTCTTCGCTATATCTGATAGCTCCGCCATTCTCAGCTGTCTTTTCGTGAAGAAATGCGTGGTACCGCTTCTTCTTTTCGCGCACTTTCTCTCTGACCTGGTCCGTCCACAGCCACGTTTGCTTGTCAATTCTCCGCCGCCCCGGCTTCGTCATCCCGAGCTCGGATCGAGCTATCCGAGTTATTTCTTTGGCAGCACCTTTCCAGGTTTCGTCGACAGTCGTTACCGCTGGTAATTGAATGCGGGAAATGACGGCCGCTTCTTTTTCCTTCAGTCGCCACCACTTGATTCTCGCTGGCCCACACCTTTCGGTTAGTTTCGGTTTCGGCGGGGCGATCTTTAGCGTACAAATTAGTGGTCGGTGTTGCGTGGCGACCGTTTCATAAGGCACTGTTTTCGCGTCTGTTACGAGTCCTTGGTCGCGGCGCCTGACAAGTACGAAATCAATTTGTGTTCTAGTGTTACCGCTATAGAAGGTGATGAGATGTGAGTCGCGTTTTCGGAATTTCGTGTTCACAATGGCGAGGTTGTGCGAGTCTGCATACTCGAGAATTCGCTCGCCATCAGTGTTACGTGACCCATATCCAAAACCACCGTGACAGCTGTAACCGTCTTTCGTAGCGCCAACGTGCCCATTGAGGTCACCTGCGACAATTATAGCTTCTTGTGACGGAACCTCAGCTGTCTTCTCATCAAGCAGGATTCCAGAACTTGTCTTTGGCTTGCTCGGAGCATCCGGTCTGCGGAGCGTACGCAGAGAAGAGTGGTATTTTCGATGTTCAATGACGACAATGATTTTCATTAATCGGTCGTCGAAGCGCTCCACGTTTACTATCGAATCACGAAAGCGTTCAGAGACAATCATCCCGACGCCATTGGTGGTTTTGGGACCGCCACAGAGAACGGCTTTGAAGCCGCGGCCAATGTCCCTCGACTTGCAGCAGGACCACCTCGTTTCCTGCACGGCACAGAAGTCTATTCGTCGGCGCTCTAGCGCTTCTGCCAGCTCGCTGGAGCGGCCCGTCAAACATTAATGTTGCAACGCGGGTCTTCGATACGTTGCATGGCTTTTGGACTAGCCTAGTTGCCCCCCGATGCCGTCCTTGCACCGGAGACCCTCGCATACTTTTCACACTCGCCGGGCTTTGCGAGTGCGCGTCGGCTCCCGCGGACGCCGTAGCATTATCTCGAGATTCATATAGCGACATTGACATTTGTGATGTGACGTGGGTGTTCGTAGGCCGGCCTGTCACGGGGGCCTGTCGCCTGCATTCGAATGTCCGTGGTCGGCTCAGCTCACAAAAGTGAGCAGTTCCCAGTGGCACCACTTGGAGGAACGGACACCACCACCTTTGTTTGTCCACACTGGCGTAACAAAATTTTTGCAATTTCGAGTTGACGTGCCAAAATTCGCGCAAAATGGAGTTAGCATGAATAATTAGTACCATACTCATGATTAGGACCGTCAGTAACCCTTACAAATAGACTTTGATTGAAAAACTGGTGAAAAAGGTGTGACACCACAGTGGGGCTGCTTGATGTCACACCTCTCTCACCAACTTTTGAGTCAGTCTTTTAGGTACTTGAGGCCCTAACATGGAATACGCGTACCAATTTCATGCTAACTCCATTTTGCGCGAATTTTGGAACGTCAACTCGAAATGCAAAAATTTGTCACCAAGAGGAATCGAACTAGGGACCCTTTTCTGGTATTCAGAGGGCCGTTCAGGAAAAATTAAACATGGTTCTGTGGTTCCCGCATCTGCCCCTATATCATGCAAAAGACCGTTTTCAAAGCTTGTCACGCCCTGAAAGACCTTCCTGGTAAGCTAGATCGCAGAGGGCAAATCCTTCGATGCGAATTGCTTGTACAGCATATTTAAGAGGTCAGCCTGTTTCTCCAGTAGATAAGTTTCATATTCTTCAATCTTCATCCTTATCGCAAAATCACCCTCTAAGTTCCCTTCTTGGAAAGGCCTTTTCAACTCCAACGGGAATCTTTCTGAAACCGCTGTATTCACTCATTTACGATATAGATCACTCACTTCGTCCAAGCAACGTACTCCATCTCCCACGTTTAGCCTCTCTGTCAAATGGATCAATGTAAAGCCGTCCAAGATGCTTTCCTGTAGTTGTGTCATCTACAGAGAATATTCGCGCATCAGGATGGGCACGCTCAAGCCCACCATCTGTCACGTCCTGAAGTACATCAAGCTAGTAAAATAATTTCTTAAAGGATTCTGATGTCACAACAAAAAGGCTATGTGAAGGCGGGACAACTTCCGCGGACTAACGTGAAATTCCAGTCCGAATATTTGCCCTATAATTTTCGTCAGATTGATGAAAGTTGGCCAAAATGGAAAGTGGTTCATCAGATCCAACGGGTCGATACTGAAAGAGCAAATATAAAATGACAGGTGCATAAAAATACTTGAAGTAGTTCGCTTACTCATAGTGTTGCTCAGCTTCTTTCTACATATGTATGCAAGGTCGTGAGCTTGTAAGTTGCTAGACATTAGTTCTTTGGCTTGAGCAAAAGCTGTCCATGATTCCATGCGGTCAATGAACACTGGACGAATTCGACGAATCAGTCTAAGAAAACCTCAACATAACAACAATTATGCATCACGATGAGCCGCAAAAAGTAACAATATTGCTCACGCATTCAAGAAATTTCGAACGGTGTCCGGCGAAGCGGCCATTTTATTCGCCAGTCGATGTTCCGCAACTGAAGAGTAGCCTAACGTTTTGGCAAGGCCTTCACTAGAATCAAATCTAATTGAGCATGAGCCTTCAGAGAAAAAAAAAACTTTGACCATCTTGGCGAACAAAAGCCGACCAAATGCCGAAATTGCGCTGCACTACAGAACTGTGCACAAAAAAGAGGAGATAGTCCCCTAATAAAGGGTAGCTTAGTCATGGAACGCCACTCGATGTTGTGCCTACGGATCTTTCGATTTTTTTTGAGTATTTGGCTTAGTCTAATTAGTTTAGTGGCCGCCGATTCAGCAGAGCAGTAAGTAGTCAGCAGCGGTTGATTACAATACTTAAAGGTTTTTAAAGGGCACAAGCAACAGCAACATCAGAAATAAGCAATACTTATTGTAATAAGCACTTACTTATTGTGTCTAAGCTCTTCAACATTCACCGAGTTGTTGTAGAAATCATGGTCAAACGACGCCTAAATAAGAAGGATGTGAAAATCTGTCCATCAGAACGTAAGAATGGCATAGTTAAGAAACAGCTTGAATAAGGCTTAATAGTAAAAAAAAAGTGCCAGATTTTGCGCCATTCACAAGTGGATCGCGCGATTTGCTAAACATTGCTCGTAAAGTGACACCTGTAATATTATACATACACAGAAAGTGGAATAAGGCAGATTGGTAGAAGCGCGATGGAAAAAAGCATAAATTTGAAAATTCCAAGTAGACTAGATATATACTACCTTGCTGATCCACTTCTCCCACGCTTCAGCTCTCAATTGACGATTTCCACAATACTCCAAGAACGGATAGATGGAGTAAGGAGTCATACGGCCACGCCATGGCCCCTGTTCCCATTGCGTTCTGTAAAGGAAGAAGCTATGTGAGAAAACAAATGAAATTATTGAGCGATTAAGGAAGAATCTCTTCTATTTCAGACAATACGTGCCGCAACGGAGATAAACAACTTACGGATCAACAGCAAGGGTCTGCAGAACATGTGGTGGAGCATCCTTCAACATTGCTTTATCAGTTATGGTGAAAACATGTTGGTCGTTGGTAGACATGATATTCGAACTGTAACACACAGAAGATGATTCAAGGAAGTTGAAAGACTTGTGCGGCTTATTACATTTTCATAGCTCAGCACTATGTGGCAACCGTTCGGAGCGGCCTAACCATGAGATATGCGGGTTTGTCTTAGCTTTAGCCATTCTTCTTACGTTCCCATATAATTGAAATGCTAAAGTAGTCACGAATTCCGCTATGTCTGCACATTTCATATGGCACAGTGACCTAAGCTAGGCCCTCCACAATTAGCCCTCCTTATGGTTGATTCATAGCTTTGTTCAGCAAGCTATCATCTGGAATACGTTTAAGATTGTTAGAGGGAAAAACTTACATGTATTTGCTACGATACTCATCGATGAACCTGCTCCATGACCCTATCAATTTTCGCGTTTTGTCGTCTCTTTTGTCCAGCCCACTTGCACGAATCTTCAAGAAGACGTCAAGTGAGAATACTTGCCAAGATTGTTACACATTCGAGAAGCACCATTTCCCGAAATCAGTGAAGAATTGCAGTATTTTTTGCCAGAACAATTATAAACATCAGAAATATATCCAATGAAGTGATAATAAAGTGATGTAAGTGAATCTAATTTCTAACGAGGTTGCAGCAAGAAAAATGCTATCTTCACTGGCATTCGGTGCTATTCATTGCAATTCCACTAGTCCTTCTGATAGCTCACCTCAAGCAAGTACCACTCAAGAAGCCGTAATTGCCACTCTGTCAGTCCTTCCTTTGCATCGTAGAGTTGCTGAAAAAATCTAGCAAGTAGCAGAACAACAGCAGCAAAATAAAAGATGGAGGAAAGCTCAAAAAACTAACAATG